GGAGGAGGGTATGTGGAGGACACGGTTCGGTCGGTCAACACACGCGTGGCGGAATATAAGGGGCTTATTGAAGCGCAAAACAAACGGCCGGAAGCAGTTTTCTTTAGACACACTGGAATTGAGTGAAAATAAGGGGCTTTTTCCTTGGTGGTAGTGTTGGTGGCTGTAGCGGTGCAGGGTGAGGAGGAAGGCGAGAGAAGGTGATCGGAGACGACGTCAGTCGGTCGTGGGGGTGGGGGGGGGGGGTTATAGAAGCGAAGACAAACATCGGCCGGAAAAACGGTCTTGTTTGATGTTCCCCGGGGAAACGTCCGATGGTTTTCTTTGCTCTTCGGTGGAGCGGTACAGCTCTTTAAAACCCTAAACTTTTGGTACGTCGGACCGTTTCACTAATTAATGGACGCGAACCGAATAACCGTTGACGGACACCGAATAAAAAGACCGATCACAAAACGAATAACAAAGAAAACAAAGATATAAATTGTTTGATGAGCTGGTAGGAACAGAGAAACGGATATTTTTGATCTGCAGGAGTAACTCTTTGTGTACTTCAGACGTATACAGTTAAGGTTAGAATACAATTGGAGGATCGTTTAATGATTATTGTCTAACTCAATTCTTCGATTTTTGAAAACAAAATGTACTATTTGGCGAATTTTTGAAATGATATAATATATAAACAACTTTCGCAGGCATGTTTAAAGCAGAATAATAATTGAACGCGGCGATTAATGCACAAATATCGTACGGTATTTGCAATTTCGATTATTATATCTTCCGGTACTTAAAATGATTTTCAACAAGTTGAACGATATATTGGTGCGTCGACTAAACATTTCTAGAGCATAAAATTACTAAAAATGTAGAAGCCCATTAAAAAAAAATATACCCTAGATGTTTAAAGAATATAATATATTATGTAATAGGACATTTGAGTATCTTGCATAAACGTAGAATTTTAAATAACGATTTCCACCACTCGATATTTTATTCTTTCCGCAAATGAGAAATAACGACACCTGCAAAATGAAAATGATGTTCGTTAAAGAAATCACACCTTGTTAATATAAAGCGCACACCGCGTAGTTTAACCACTGCGAAACGTGATCTCGCGCGTTTAATTTAGTATAATAATATAACGACTGTATTATTATTTCCATTTGCGATCTATACGATTCACTACCGGTAACCGCGTATACCTAAACGCAGTCCGTACTATGCACTTATATTATGCCTCTATATACTATCAGCGACCGCGGGTGAACAACTGTTGTATATTATATCAGATATCAGAAATTAAATAAAACCCGCGAGGCGCCAAATCTTTGTGTTTCGTCGGAGACGTAAAGAAACGAGACGAACGAGAGATATTATCGTGAAATGTGTGTGAAGGAAAAAGAGATAAAAAAAAAAATAAATAATAATAATAATAATACGAGCGCCATACAGCGAAACGCTCTTTCTGCGTTCGGGGTATACCTCTCTCCAGACCTATAATATATTTATATACCGAGTCGTGCCGCAAACAAATGCAATCCATTATCGTGCGGATTGGATTCCGTTGTCATTTTCTCTTTGACAGCCGATTTTTCCCATCTCTCCGACACGCTTACACGCGACATATATACTTTATTATATATATATATACGTTTAGGTTTTGTCGCCCGGAGAAACGTTTGTAAATTATTGCTTTTATCGGAAATATTCACGACGAGCGCCACCTCCTCGCCTGCAGTCGCAAGCTCTCGATCGTCGCGGGGAACAGTCTATACAATAATGAGAGCGTTTTTATCGAACGGTTTTCTACAAAAAAAAAAAAACACACACACACACAGAAAGAAAGGCAGAGCGATATAAACTCGTAGTACAGACTAGTAATAATAATAATAATAATAATAATAATAATAATAATAATAATAATAATAATTGCAATGTGCGACGTTGTGTTTTATCGTGTCGTGTATATATATATACGTATATTATTGTTACGTATATAGTTAGCCCGTCACAGCCACCGCCTTCGATATCGTTTTGGCAACCAAACGTTTCGGTCGGTATTTCACGAATTCGATCGATGTGCGCGGCGTATTTTTAGACCAGTAGAAATGGCCGATTAAAAAAATGCGATGACGTTAAGTAGTACGGTCTACATAACTACTATACACGATGCTCGAGAACGACATGTCTTTGTACGTTTATAGTTTTCAAGCACCGTACGGTCACTGATATTGTACGTGTTAAACGGCTAATTTTATCTCGCTGCGGAGTTATTGGCAGAAAAAAACACACAACACTGTGCAAAGCATCGTTTTTGTTTTCGCACACACAAGTCCTGAAAAATACAGTTGATGAAATTTTTTACGCTACTATTACATTGAATTATTATTATTTTTTATCGTGCCTACTCAAGCCGATGATGAGTTATGGTTTTTGAAAAACAACAATATTGAAATCCATGATAATTCGTGTAAGCAACTGTGAGTCAAAATAACAGTTAAACATAATATTAGACGTCAGAATTTGTATAGACATCATCATAGCCATTAGATACGCCTCGTTAGTTTGCTTTGTGTGGTATTACAGAAATAAAAATGT